TGTGTGTGTGTGTGTGTGTGTGTGTGTGTGTGTGTGTGTGTGTGTGTGTGTTTTGATGTCTATACTTGTGTCCTTGTCAGTGCGCATTGATCTTGCTGTGCTTGTCTAGCATGGCTTATCCATGCAACCATGCCCGTGGGAAGTTTGCGCTGGCCGAGGAGGGAGGGCCAATGGGGATTTGCCTGGTGGGGGGCCACCATGGTGAGTGGTGGGATCCAGTTCGGGCTGCCTCTTGGAAACGTTTCCCTGGATTCTTTTCTCCGGAATGGAACTGGGACACTGGCCTTTGCGCAGACTCGCTGCTCCGCGCCTGTTTCTTGCAAAGGTAAAGGAAGCCTTAAGCTTTGCGCTGATGTGTGGTGTGCACGGGGACGCAGGAGTAATGCAAGTTTCCAGGTCTGCGTGGGTACCCCCGGTGCTCTGTGCCCATAGAACCGTTTTTGATGGCCTTTGAATTACATGGAAGGGGCCCGGTGGTTCTCCACTGAGTTCTGCAGCCCCTTCTCAAAGTCTAACAATCAGGCTTTTACTACGTTTGTTTTCCTGGAAACTTCGTAAGGTTCTGAGGAGTGAAAAGTTGTCAACGTGCCAACTAGTTTACTTCATCGTAGTTGCGCAGCGTTCCGAGATTTTCAGTTTAGCAGCCAAACGTGGTTGCTCTGAAGTGTGGGAACAATGTGTGTCCTGTGCATGGAGGGGGTCCCTCCTGCCCTAGGTACTGGCCCCCTGTGGGATGAGAAAAGTCTCTGAGGTCAGCTCTGCGGATGTGGGGAGTGTTTATGTCTGTTTAATTTCAGAGTAAAGTTGAGCTGGGAATGTGCTTTTGATCCATCTCTACCTCCCTAGACTGCATGAAGGTTTCTCAGGTAGCCAAATACCCACCTAAATCCTCTTTCAATGGTGGGGCTGAAAGGAAAGCATGGCTGGAACTGTGGGGGCTGTAACCCTGTGCTATTGCTTGTGTAACTGTTTTTGCCAGGGCAACCTTTAGCTAAGAGAACGTAGCAGAGAGGTCTTTGCATGATTTTGCATTTTGGCAGAGTGGAGCATGCGTGTAGAGCTCCTCCTTGCCCAATTTTGCAGATTTTTCTTTCTCAAAAGAGACTTCACCATCAAGACCAGCACTAATTACCGTGTCCCCCCTCAGGGAGTCCTTGTGGAACCAGCAGCCCTGTTGCTAGTCATCCAAAGTTTGGTTCCTAACAATTAAATGCAATTTAGATTCCTGAACTGAGCCTGCTAACTGCTTCAGCATTGCTGTGGCTTCTCCCCCCTCTGTGGGAGAAGTGAAAGCACAGTATCAGGTGAAGACAAGGGCAGTCTAATCCCGTCTAGTCTCTTTTCACAAGAGAGATGTTATGTACAGATGCGCGTGAGCAGATGTTATTACACTATCTTAAATGAACTCCTCAGGGGATCCAGCAATTGAAATAGTACCACAGTGCCTCTGCTGTTTGCTTCTTTGAGGTTTCTTGCTGTGGACCAGTGGGTGAGAAAGCCGAAAGCAAACAGTGCCTCTTTCTCCCTGCTTGGAATAAAGGTATTTGTAAGGAATAAAAGGTCACAGTATCCCTCCTTGGCCCACAGACTATGGCCAATTCATTTGGCCCACAAATATTAACTAAGGGTCCATGTTTCACTGTCTGCCAGCTGGGCAGAGGCTGCAGAGAATAAATGGGAAAGATCCTAGGAAATTGCAATCTACAACAGGAGAGAAGTCATATAAACAAATAACTATAAAACGAGGGACAGAATGTATGTGCCAACTGGGACAGTACTAGGGAGGGACGTGTTTGTTATGTATTTGAATGCAAGCTCCTGTCTGAAGGTGAAACTGGTCCAAGCACCCTGTCTCTCACCCACTGGCTGTGGGGTCAGGGTCGTGCATCACACCATCCTCCTTTGTAGGATGGTAATGATGGAAGTGCTCTGCTAGTATCATGAACTTCCTCATCAGAAACACCATTAACCTTTTGCAGGGCACTAGGTACAAGGCACCTGCTGTCAAAAACTCAGTAAGACAGTCTCCTTTGAAACAGTCAGACACAAACATAGGAAGGAATACATAACAACAGTGCCTTAAATGGATATAAATTCTTAGAGTACAGTCTATTATATAGAGTGATGGTTCTCTGTCTTGCCTACAGATTTGATTGCCTGGTGAACTTTGAAAAACATTCCAGTGTTCTGGTCCCCCAACCCGGTAACCTGATTTAATTGGTCTGGGGTAAAGCCTAGGGCAAACTGTTTCAAAAACCCTGCCCAAGTTATTCCTGTGCATTGATATGGTGTAACATTTGATCATCTACAGTAGCTCTGTCAGGAAACAGGAGGGAGAAGTGATTCTTTCCATTTATGGGTAATGACTTGCCCAGGGCCACTTGTATTGCAGGTGGCAGAGTCAATGCAAAGGCTTCTGCTTGGTTCAGGGCACTTTCCGTTTTTTTGTTTTTTTTTTTTCTTCGAGTCTTGACTGGATGGACATAAACATAAGAAGAAGCATGATTAAGTGACAAGACTGCTGAGGAAACTGAAGTGGTCAGCAGTGACTTGGAGGAGGCAGGGTCTAGAAATGGATACCATAGAAAAGACCGAGTTACTAGACAGCTTGAATTTCAGGGAAAGACAGGGATGATCCCAGGGCATGCTTTGAAGTCAGATGCCACCTTGGAATCCATCTTTTGACAAACCCACTCCTTTGGTGTGGGCTTATGGAGTTCTCTGTGGAGAAGGATTCTGGAGCCATCTGGGGATTGTAACTCTGATTGATTAGTTATGCCTGCCATAGGCGAAGGCCTAAAGAGTTGTGGTCTGTGTGGTGAGTATGTGCTTTCTCTTTGAGAGAGTAATTGGTTCTCAGGGGAGACTTTGTTCTGCTGAAAATCAAAATCTAAGGTATTCATTGGGTTTGCTAGTTTTGTAGGACCCCAAGAGCACATTTTAATTGAAATTAAAATTAGCATTTTAAAACTGAAAATAAATTTTGAAAATATATCAAATTGTACACTTAAATGGGTGTATTTTTTTTTTTTTTTTTTTTTGGTACTAGGGAGTGAGCCCAAGGATGCTTAACCACTGAACCACGTCCCCAGCACTTTTTATGTTTTATTTAGAGACAGGGTCTCATTAAATTGCTTAGGGTCTCCTCAAGTTGCTGAGGCTGTCTTTGAACCTGTGATCCTCCTGCCTCACCCTCCAGAGCTTCTGGGATTATAGGCCTGTGCCACCATGCCTGGCTCCTGTGCAGTCTTTATAGCTGTTTTGGAAATTCTAAGTGCTTTGCATTTATACATGTGTTTTATAGTTTGTCTTTTTGTTGTTGTTTTTAAAGCTGCTGGGATTTTTGTTGAGATTGTGTGGAATCTATAGATTGTTGGGGAAGAATTGCATTTTAATTATTGAATCTTAACAATCTATAAACATGATATAGATCTCAAATTATTTAACAGTGTTTTGTAGTTTTTAGTTTATAGGTCTTTCATATCTTTTGTAAGATTTATTCCTATATTAAATATTTTTTATACTATCATAAATGTTAATTTTTTTTTCCAGTATTGGGGATTGAATCCAGGGGCACTCTACCACTGAAATACATCTTCAGCTTGTTTTTATTTTGAGATAGGGCTTCACTGAGTTGCTGAGGGTCTCACTAAGTTGCTGAGGCTGACCTTGAACTTGCCATCTCCTACTTCAGACTCCTAAATTGCTGGGATTATAGGCGGTGCCATTGCCTTGTTTGAAAGTGCCTCTTTATTTGCAAATAAAGTCATGCTGAAGATCAGGATTTTGACTTCTAAATTTTGGGGAGGGCACAGTTCTGTTCAAAACAAGGAGTTGTGAAATTTTGACTGTAATTAGACATTTGTCTATTTCTCTTTGCAGTCCTCTCAGTTTTTCTTTTTTTTAATCATTTTCCTGAAGTTTTGTTATTAGGTAGTTGCATGTAAAAAGGATTGTTTAATCATTAAAAAATGACTTTGTCTTTGGTATCTTTGGCCACCCCAAATTTTCTTTGATTAATATTAGAAGTGTATATTTTTTGTTATATATATTTTTAAATTAGTCCTTCACTTATTTAATTTTTTAAAAAAATTTATCTAGTTCTAGATGAACACACAGTATCTTTATTTATTTTTATGTGCTGCTGAGGATCAAACCCAGTGCCTCACACATGTGAGGCAAGAGTTCCAGCTCCAGCCCCAGTACCTCACTTATAACTGAGATACTTACACTGTTTATACACATATGATTATCAGTATGATGAGGTTTAAATATGTCATCATATATAATATTGCAAGGACATATTTAAGCCTATTAATAATCACATGTGTACACGATACCTGGCTTCCCTCTGGTTGATTTCTTGTTTTCTATTTCTCCTACATTGTCTTTGTTGTTTTGCTTTTTTTTGGTGGTGGTAGTGGAGGGGCATTTTTAGATGACTTAAATTATCTTAAGATTTCGTTTTATTTCCTTTGTTGGCTTCTTACCAGCAATTCACTGTTTTGGAGTATGCCTTTGGGTTTATAGTATACCTCTCTAACTTATCAAAGTCTGCTTTCAAGTGATATTGTATCATTTCATCCTTGCTATGAGAGCCTTGCAATAGTATATTTTATTTTCTCCATTCCTGAGCTTTGTGCCACTTCCTCGCATATTTTACTTTTGCATAAGTTAAATATCACATTGCATTCTATTTTTATTTAAACTTTTGTCAATGTTTTAGTGATCCTTCAATAATAAGAAATAAATCTTACATATTTACCCATGTGTTTACTCTTTCTTGCTCTCTTTATTCTTTTATGTAAAGTTATATTTCCATCTATCATTTTCTTTTCGCCAAAGGATTATCTTTAACGTGTCTTATATGTCAGCTAATGATAAATTCTTTCAACTTTTCAGTTTTTGAATATATTAATAAGTTTATTTTATTCTCTTTCATTTTTGCAAGTCATTTTTGCTGGGCACAAAGTTCTAGATTTTCAAGACTTCTTTACTATTTTATATTGGTCCACCATCTTGCTTTTTTTTTTTTTTTTTTTATAATGGGGATTTAAACCAAGGGTACTTTATCACTGAGCTATATCCCTAGCCCTTTTTATTTTTTGTTTTTTTTTTAATAGAGAGTTTCACTAAGTTGCTTAGGCTTTGCTAAGTTGCTAAGGCTGGCCTTAAACTTGCAGCCCTCCGGTTTCAGACTCCCAAATTGCTGGGATTACAGGAATGCATCACCATGCCTGACTGACTTCTCACTTGTATTGCTTACTTTTTAAAATGAGAAGTCATCAGTTATCCTAATGGTTGGTCCCCTGCATGTCATGTATCTTTGTGTCTTCTTCTTTCCTCTTGTTACTATTTCCCCCCTGTACTGTATATAGGTTGAACCCAGAATTGCACACATTCTAGCTGGGTGCAGTGGCACATGCCTGTGATCCCAGCAACTCAGAAGTCAGAGGCAGGAAGATTGCAAATTCAAGGCCAGTCTCTATAACTTAGTGAGACCCTGTATCAAAAAAAAAAAAAAAAAAAAAGTCTGTGGGTATAGCTCAGTGATAGGAGAAAAAAAAAGAAAAAAGAAAGACCTCACACAATTTAGGCAAGTACTCTGTCACTGAGCTACATCTCTAGATCCCCTTTTTAAAAATTTTAGTTTTGAGACAGGTCTTGCTAAGTTGTCCAGGCTGGCTTTGAACTTGCCCTCCTCCTGCCTCAGCCTCCCAAGTAGGTAGGATTGCATGTGTGCACCACCATGCCTAGCTTTCCTCAGGTTGCTCTCCTAATTGTTGGGTTTGAGCAATTTGATTGTCAGGTGTGTTGGGGTAATTTTTGTCACCTTTTTTGTATTAGGAATTTGTTGTTTCTTGACCGTCTGGGTTTATAGTTTTCATCTTAGTTTGGAAAAATTTCAGCCATTATTTATTCAAATAGTCTTTTCTGCTCTTCCTTTCCTTCAGGGATTTCAATTATGGGTGTATTCTGCTATTAAAACTCTCCCATAGATATAATTAGCAAATAAAAATTTGCATGTATTTAAGCTAAAAAACAATAACAACAAAACTCTCCCACAGCTTCGAATGCTCACTTTTTTGTTTATTTAGGTTGACTATATCTCTTTGCTTTATTTTGGGAGGTTTTTATTGTGATGTCTTCCACCCATCTGGTTTTTGCAGTGCCTTTTTGGCCACTAATCACATCCAGTATATTTTTCACCTCAGAGTTGTCTGTGTTTCTTCTGTGGATGTTTGACTTGGGTCTTTTTATATTTTCTAAGTCTCTACTTTTTGAACACTTACAGTGCAGTTATAATAACTCTCTTAAGATTCTTGTTTGCTATTTTTAACATCCCTTCTAGGTTAGTTTTGATTAATTATTCTCATTATAAGTTATATTTTCTCATCTCATCTCAAAAGTCTGATAACTTTTTTTTTCCAAGTTTTTAGTTGTAGGTGAATACAATGTCTTTATTTTATTTGGTTATTTTTAAAAATATATATATTTTGTTTTTTTAGTTGTACTTGGATACAATACCTTTATTTTATTTTTGTGTGGTGCTGAGGACGGAGCCAAGTGCCTCTCACATGCTAGGCTCTGTCATTGAGCTAACACCCAGCCCAAAAGTCCTATAACTTTTGACTGGCTACCAGAGATTGTCACTGTTACTTTAGATGCTGGGAAATTTTTTATTCTTATAAGTATTCTTGAGCTTTGTCCTGGAATGTAATTAAGTTACTTGGAAATGGTTTGATCCTTTCTGGGTAGTGCTTTTTTTTTTTCAGAGAGGGTGGATAAGTCAAGAGGAGTGTTGAGTCTAGAGCGAACTCTTCCCCATGAGTAAGGTAAAATCCTTCTGTTTTCTATCACTATGAATTTTGAGGTTTCCCAGTTGGGCAATGGAAGCAGGTACTATTCCCATTTCCGTGTGAGCATTGGATACTATTTCCTCTAATCCTATTTAGTAGTTCTTTCCCCAGCTTTGGATAGCTTACACACACACAGAGACACACTCACACACACAATTGTCAGTACCCAGGTGAATGTTTGAGGGAGACCTTATGCAGGGGTTAGGAATTCTGAGCAGTTTTCTGTTCCATGGTACTCTCTCTTGCAAATTCTTGCTGCCTTGCTCAACCCAGATAGTACACTGGGCTCAGTCTATTTCCTCCTTTTCTTCTCTACAGCCCGGAGAATCTTTTGAAGGCAGGTATCTGGGGGCAGCCTTGGAATTTATCTTATTTTCTCTTCTCCTGGAGCTGCAGTCCTATAATGCCTAACAATGAAGATACGTTCTTGAAAATATACCACATCATTACTCCATGTCATGATTGTGCCAAAATCATAGAGTGTAGTCACATAAACTAAGATGGTTACAATATCACTGGATAATGGGAATTTCCCAAGTTCATTATAGTCTTATGGGACCAGTGTCATATGTGAGGTGTGTATTGACCAAGGCCTTCTTATCACTCTTCCATTTTTCTGACACAGTGTCTAAAAGCAATTGTTTTGGATGTTTGGTTTATTTTTTTTACTATTTCAGATGTGAGGATAAATGTAGTTCCTGGTACTATATCTGAATCAGAAGTTGAAGGTTCTACAGATTTAAAAACAATTTAAAAATGTGATTATATGTGTTTTTTTTTAAAAACAGTTTATTTTTATTTATGTATTTTTTTATGTGGTGCTGAGGATTGAACCCAGCGCCTCATTGCACTGAGTTACAATCCCAGTCCCCGCTATTATGTTTTAACCTCATCTTCCAAACAATATTGCCAACCTCTTTCTAGGATGTCTTTTTAAAATATAACCCTTCTTAGAGATCTTTACACAGTAAAATGCCAAACTTTCAAGCACACAGGTTAAGGACTGTCATTGTGGGTTCCCTGTGTGACCACCATCCAGAGCATGAGGCAGTACCTCTTCCACCCAGAAAGTTTTCTCACGCCCTCTGTAGTCCACACCTCCCCCCCCACCAGCTGACTGTTATTACTTCTGTTAACATAGACAAGTTGGCCTGTTCATGAACATTCTATAAGGAAACTGCTCTTCATGGGTTCCTGCATGTTTGAGTTAGCATAATGCTTTTGATGTTCAGCTGTGTTGTTATATGTATAAATAGTTAGTGCTTAAGTATTCCTGAATAGTATTCTGCCACATGACTATGCTATAGTTCCCTCCTGCCCACTGTTCACCTTATGGTGTACATTTGGTTTATTTCCTATTTGTGGTGCTTATAAATAAGGCTGTCATGATCATTCTTGTACAGATCTTTTTTTGAACATAGGCACTTAGATCTTTTTAGTGTACATAAGAGTGGATCATAGGGCAGGTATATGTTTTGGTTATAAGACATTGCCAAACTGTTTTCCAAAGTTATTGTATCATTTGTTTCATGTTCTCAGTGACATTTTATTTTCATAGCAAATTTTAATTATTCTAGTCAGGGAGTAATGGCCTCAATGGGTATGTATTGTCTAATAGCCTTAGATATATTAATACTGACAGAATGCACTATCACACATCAGCAACTAAGTGTAGGGTGACATTTGGTTACTACAGTAAACTAAATTCTTCTAAGTTCATCAGCTATAACTATGAGCCTTGACACAAATATAATTTGGTGGGTGAATAGCTAATTTCCTTCTAGTACTATTTCTTGTAACCAAGTTAAGGAGGAAGCAAATACATGTCACAAGCTGGTCTTACAATGGTCTCTTCTGCAGAAGAGCAAGCACATTGGCCCAGAGAGGCTCAGACACTTCACTGGTGGTGATTTTTTTTATTCAAAGGCACCTTTGAATGCCTTTGAGGGGAAAACAGTCATTTTCCCCTTCACATCTTTGTACTATTTGCTAATCATTTCTTTCAGAAGAAAGAGACTCTGGGAGTGTGTATGAATTACTTTGTCACAGAAGTAGATGACATCAGCCTCCAGTCTGGAAGGGAACAGATTGATAAATGTTGGTTCATGTCATGCTCCGGCCACCCCCCACGCAGGGATGTGCACGTTGGATGGGGGAATTGCTGTCTGTGACTCTAGGATCCAGAACACTGACCCACCCCGTGTCCTTGCCTTGGGAATTTTAGCATTGCTGAGATGCTTTCTTGTTCTTTGTTTGCTTGGTAAAGTCTCTGTTTTAGCTCTTTACAAACTCAGCTAGATTTATTATCTCCTGAGAAGGAAAAGGAAAGAAGAAACAAACTATGAGTTGAAGTGCTGACAGTTTCTTCCTTTACTTTTTCAGCCAGAAGAATTTACCACGAGTCTGCACAGTTTTAAGAAAAAGGCTTTTAAAAAACCCAAAGCCTGTGGAGTTTGCAAACAAATCATTGATGGTCAAGGGCTTTCATGCCGAGGTAAGTACATGCTGATGATTCACTCACTGATTGAACTGGAGCAAACGGACATAGCAAAATAAAAACATTCTTACTGGAGTTTCCAAAATTAAACCATGGACTCTCCCTTTGTGGCCTATGTTCACCCTCTACCTGTAGTTGGTAGAGATCTATCATATTTACGCAGATATGTGCTCATGAGGAGATTTTCCCAGAAAGAGAATTTACTCCCATGGGATAGGAGAGATTGATAACTCACGATCTACTCTCTGGTCTCTTCTGTAGTGTCTGTAGCTCTCTCTATTCAATTTGACTTTCAGACCTCCCATTTTTTTGTACTAGGGATTGAACCCAGGGGTATTAGCTACTGAGCCACATCCCCAGCCCTTTTAGTTTTTATTTTGAAATTGGGTCTTGCTAAGTTGCTGAGGCTGGCCTCAAACTTGCAATCCTCCTGCCTCAGTCTTCCAAGTTGCTGGGATTACAGGTGTGTGCCACCATTCCCAGAGACTTTCAGATTTCTTACCAAAGTTTGCAAATGAAGTTTATCTATTCTTTAGAGTTTGGGTTTATTGTGGTGTGGACCCTTGCAGGCTCTTTTACAAGTCATTGGTCCTGTTTCTAAATAGCCACCAGCTTGGCTACTTGATCCCTGAACGTCATGCAGTTAATGGAATTGACTAATTCCTTAATTAATCTGCGTAATGGATGTGTGGCTGGGTGGGTTAGTAGGGGTGCGTCAAACACCCCTTTGGTCTTTGAAGAGTGCGTACCCTCTACTCTTAGGTATTACATTTTCTGTGGGTTTGGGGGATTTCTTTTCTGGAAAATTTGTTGAGTGTCAGCTAGTGGGCTTCTGTGGTATTGGACCTCCTTGATTCTTTCCTCCCTGTGGCCACCAAGTTGAGGGTCCCTATAGCAGTCAGACTTCAAGGGGCTGAGGATGTAACTAGGGACCTAAAAGGGTCTCTTGGGATTCTTTCCATGTTAAAAGGCATGGTTGGTGCTCCTGTCTGAACTCTGCTGTGTCAATCAGAGAGGAAGAGTGGGCTCAGTGGGCTCAGGGACCGCTGCCCCCTCTCCCTCCGTGCACTGCTTCCCAGTGGCTCCCATCCCTCAGGCCTGTCAGGTGCTGCCTTCCTACTTGAGTCCTTCACGTATGGAGCACTACCCCCACCCCCACCCCTTCTGCTCTGATGCAGCTCTTGAGATCCTGCAAGGCACTTGGCCAGACATGTCCCCAATCTGCAGGAGAGGCTGACTCTGAGATTGACTTTCCTCACCTGTGGCACTGACGAAGCCCACCCAGGGGTGGACAAACCTTCCCTACATGGGTGGGGGGGGCTCCTCTAGGGACTGATTGCAGAACAGTGGTTATGGGCAGCCACAGAGCATGCCTATGCAGTGCTGACTGGCTGTCCTGCCCCCAGGCCTAGAGGAAAGAATGAGCCAAGGAGTGGGTAGCCTTGAGAAGGACGTGACAGAGGTGACCTTGTGTGGAGGGCAACCTCACTGTCTTTTTTGTGACTGTGACCTCCCTCTGGAGCACCCTGGGGGTTGAATCCAATCAGAAGTCAGAGGCCAGGGAGGCATCTGAGGAATTTTCTGCCTCTGGGCAGAGAACAGGGTTTACAGTCTACTCCAGGCCAGCTGGTGCGACATGGGGGTGATCCATGACTTTCTGGCCTGTGTCTGCATGGAGTGCTGCACTCCATGACATCCTGGTTGCTCTGAGAACTGTGGCCTGTCACTGGCAATTCCTGTGCACAGCTTGTTCAGTGCAGGAGGGTCACATCAGCCATAGCACAGTGGCTTTCTGTGCATACATGTATGGTGATGAGAAATGGTACCCTTGCCCTCAGAGTAACACCCCTCTCCGTCAGGCTTGCCCCAGAGTGACTGTGAGTGAAGACAGCAGTGCCTGTGTGTCTGCTCTCTGGGGTCGGTAGGGGCCCTGCACCCCTCCAGAAATACAGCGGGGTTGGGGGCCCTTGAAGTCTTTCTATATTGTGAATCTCATTCTCAAAGAAACAGTCTTATTTTAAAATTTGGATCCCCAAATATGACTCTTTGGTATGAGAATAAGGTCAAGGAGCATCATGGTTGATTGAACCATGATGCTGTGGTAGAGGCTCACATTCAAGGGGTCCCCTGAATCAGAATTTACATGCTCTGTGCAGTGTGGGGACAGGTATGATTGAGGAGCAAAGACTGAGTTCAGACAGCTGAACTGTGCACTTCTCCTAACCCCCACATGGGCAAAGTCTGCTCCTACTCAGAGGCTAAGGTGTTGGGTCCAGTATAACAGTTTTACCCTGAGGTTATTTTAAGGGCTATATGAGATGGTCAGAAGGCCTGCAGGCAGCTTTGTGGCAATCAGCTTATTATTTCTACTGAATGTCCACAGTGAAAATCCATGGGTGGTTCCATATGTCTGATACCCACAGATCCTTAAGAAGGAAGAGGCCCATATTCTGGAAGATAAGAGGATCTCTTCCCTGCCTCCAGACTCCTGGCCTGAAGGAAATTCCAATGCAGTGGGAGGCAGATGGCACTAGGGAGGAATCTGCAGTGGTGGGCGCTGTTGGAAGCAAACACATTCTGATTTCTGGGGAAAAGAGATGCCATAGCAAGACTGGTTTGCAGTGCAGTGTGTGTTGTGGCCCAGGGTTCACATGCACTGATGGGACTTGGAAGCTTCTTGTGTTCTAGAAATGTCTGCCATCTTCTCTCCTTGGGATAGTTTTATAGGCCTTTCCCTTATTATGGACCTTAAAATTATGTTATGAGAATACTCAATGTATTCTCATAAGGTAAGGTCAGAATATTTGTATTCCTTGGGCTGGGGTTGTGGCTCAGTGGTAGATTGCTCGCCTAGCACATGTGAGGCCCTAAGTTCGATCCTCAGCAGCACATAAAAATAAAATAAAGATATTATGGTCATCATCTAAAAAAAAAAGAATATTGTGTTCCTTTTATTGACCCCAGTTGTTGTGACAGTATTTGAAGGTGGGTCCTTTGGGAAGTGATTAGGTCATGAAAGTGGAACCTTCACAAATGGGATTAGTGCCCTTTTAGCAAAGAGACCACAGAGAGCTGCCTCACCCCTTCCCCCATGTGAGGACAAAGCCAGAAGCACCATCTATGGACCAGAGGTGGGCCCTCACCAGGTACAGAATCTGCCTTGACCTTGAACCTTTAGCTTCTGGAAGTCCAGAAATAGATTGCTACCATTTCTAAGCCATTCAGGCTATTATTATTATTATTATTATTATTATTTTTGTAGCAGCTTTACTGCTTGCATTACCTCAGAATATGACTCTAATAAGTATGTTAACAAATAATAGCTTCTCTTTTCTGGAAAGTTTCAGGATTCTGTGTCCTAGGAATCTTTCGGACATGGACATGATCTTTCTCATTAAATTCAGTTACCGTTTGCGCCAGCTGCTGTGAATTGTTCAGGGGTGATCATGGGCCTGCCTCACAGAGATGCCATCCTTTGTCATGCAGGCTGAGTTGTTGGAGCACCCATGGTCAGAGCTGTGGGAATAGCTCAGGAAGTTCCATGGAGAAAGTGATGCCAGTTAGGTGGGTGTGGGAGGCCAGGTAGGACTTCTTGCCTATGCAGAGAGGTGTGGCTCAGAGGCAGCTGGCCCCAGATGAGTTAGGGGACACCCTGGGTTTTGACTGTGCCTACACATGGAAGGGAGCCTTGTGCTGATAGAGACTTTGGGCTTTTACATGGTGCTTACATGGTGCCAGGGTATAAGGGCTGGAGTCTTCTGAGGTAATGCAAGCAGTAAAGCCGAGGTCCTGCTTACCTCTCAGAAAGCAGGGGATCCAACATCAATGCCTCGGCTCAGAGGTGTAGGCGTCCATCCCTCATAGTACCTGTAACTCGGATCTGCCACTCTTAACAGGCTGCAAACAGAATCTCAGTTCTTCAGGAAGGTGCGTCACTGCCCCGTGGTTTTTCCTCCCAGCCCTTGCCCTTTTCCCTCCATAACTGCAAACCATCAGTTAGTAGTGGTGGGGACTTTGTTGGGTTGGCAGTGGTCCCTGCCTTAGCAGGAAGCCCAGGGAGCCTGAGTGGACAGCTCTGCTTCATGGATCAGGGGTCCCAGTCCGTGCCACCAAGGTACTGGGGCAACAAGAGACAGGAGTTGTGCATGGTCCAAGCCACATGGGCACAGGGTAGTGTGCCATCCAGGACTGTGATCTGTACTTGACTTTTAGCCCCCAGGGTACTTCTGTTGAGCAAGTGTGATCCTGGTTTATTATGATACTTAGGGTGACTGCTATGGTTTGAACAGGGTTTGCCCCCTCAGACGCATGGTGGAGTTAAACCCCCATTGTGAGCTACTGAGAGGATTGAAACTTAATCCAATGGTAGTGTTTAGAGGTAGGGCCTTTGGAATTCTAGAGTATTAGGATTAAAAAGGTCATCAGGGTAGAGCCCTGTGATGGTATGAATACTGGTGACTTTTTAAGAAGAGAGAGAGAGGCCAGAGGACACACATGCACATACCCATCCCCCCCCCCCATACTCCTTGTGATGCCCTGCACTGTCTTGGGAATTTACTCTCAAGACAGCCATCTCCAGTTGTGACCTCTCCACCTTGAACCAGAGCTATCAGTGGAAATAAATTTCTTTTTCGCTTATCTAGTCTATGGTATTGTATGAATAGAAACAGAAAATAGACTAACATGATGACCAAGGCCCAGAAGGGCTCAGCATATAGTGGGCAGGGTGTGGTCCCACATGGGAAGTGCATTGGCAGAGGTATTTGCAGGCCCCTGTGGCACCGAAGGGGGTGGTTGGTTCTAGGGTGACGAGCCAAGCAGGGTGAGGAAACATAGAATGGGCCTTTCTTTGGTTGTTTACAGGTCTCTCTGCTCTTGGGCTGATGGCACCTGTGATGCAGTCTAGTTTCAAGGGTGTTGTCCCTCTCAGCACAGCTTAGCAAGTGCACAGGGATTGTAAATTGTATGACGAATTTGGGCAGATAAACGCCTGGCTC